TACAAGCAGACAGTCGCAAAGGCTGTTGGAACTTGTAGTTTTCCCATTCATAGAATACTGTGAATGAGTGAAGTGGCCGAGCAGGCGGAGCCATTTTTAAATTGTGACAGGAGGGAGAAAATCCCATGCTAGCTGTCACAACAGGGGATTGTGGGATGGTCCTTTTGTATCATGGTACATGTTACACACTGAAAATGAATGTAACATGTTAAGAAAGGTGAACTTATCCTTTAAACATCTTGTTCACAATATGTGCAGAAAAACTGATGGAAACTGACCTGCAGATTTAATTTGCAGAGACATCAATTTATATGCGCATTTCAATGAGATTTATATATGTTCAGATTCCTGAGCAGAAAAAAATCTGCAGGTGATACTAGTGTTGTGGTGTGAACAGGGCACATAGAGAACAATTGAGTTCCTTGTGCCCTTGCCGAACAAATTATGTCTCTGCATCATGGTGTGAATGAGCCCTAAGTAAGTGTCTTTTGCTGCTAAATGCAGCATTCCACATGAACACTGTGAAGCTATTCCAAGTACAATAGACTTATATGTAGGAGGATTTGTTTCAGCTCTGTGTAAAATAAGTTGTACCTGATTATCTACAGCATTCTTCTCTATAGCCTCCTAAAGCACACATTTTACATAGCGTTAATCAGCTCCAGATGGCAGAGGGCAGCAATTTGATGTGTCACACTGCACAGCATAGAGCAGGGAGCTGAGTGTAATCTGAGACCTGAGTGAAGGAAAAGGACACTACCCCCTCTACAGTCTCATAGGGAACCATGCATCACTGAAGGCCTGTCAATCAAATGTGTGCTGAAGGGGGGGTGGGGCTGTCTTCCAGAATTATTTGGTTTTGGCACAGACTGTCAGAAGCAGGGGCGGACTGACCATTTGGAAACTCGGGCACTGCCCGAGGGCTCGGGGTCAGTAGGGGGCCCCATGAGATTCCCCTGGTACCTTTTTCATAGGCTTTTTTGAGTTTGGGCAAGCACACAGGGGCCCCATGATCCCCTATTGCCCGGGGGGCCCCATGAGTTGTCAGTCCGCCCCTGCTCAGAAATGACTCATGCAGATAAAAAACAGAGCAACAACCAATCACACTAGGGGTTTTGACCAAGGCAAGTACACACTATAGAAGGATATGCTTTGTTCCATTATTCATTCCTGAGGTTTACAACCACTTCAGTCAGGACACAAAAAGGATGTGAAGAAGACACTGGTGATATCTGGGAATACTATGTCACCAGTGCCTTCCAGGCAGCTTTAAAGTGGTTGTAAAGGCAAGTTTTTTTTAACCTTCATGCAATCTAAAAAAAAGGTAAAAAAAACCTTCTGCATGTGTCTCCGCCCCCCCCCCCCCCCCCCCATACTTACCTGATCCCGATCTTGATCCAGCGGTGTTGCAGGAGAGCAGAGGCTCTCTCCCTCCCCACTGGCTCCCACTGCTGTCAATCACAGCCAGTGAGGAGTGAGTCAGGCCAGGCCGTGCTGAGTGTCTTACAAACACACACAGGTGATTCAGGATCAAGCACACAGGTGTGCCATGATAAGAAGCAGCTTCCTATGGTGGCATACAAAGAGGAAGAGGCAGGAGTCTGTGCAGGCAACCCAAGAAAAGGAGGATCGGGGCTGCTCTGTACAAAATCATTGCACAGAGCAGGTAAGTATGACATGTTTGTTCTTTAAGAGAGCAAATGTGAACTCTTGCAAATGGCATGGACTACTTTTTTGTTTTTTTTACAAATATGTGAATGGTATAAAGGATCTTGTAATGGTCACCTTGGCGGAGATTTACAAAAACTGGTGCACACCAAATCTGCTGCAGCTGTGCTCAGTAACCAATCAGCTTCTAGGTTTTATTGTCAAAACGTAACTGAACAAGCTGAAATTAGAAGCTGATTGGTTACTATGCACTGCTGCACCAGATTCTTTGTGCACCAGTTTTAGTAAATCTCCTCCATTATCATATAATCAACCATTATCTATTGTGAATGGAAATAGCTATGGTTTATCTTGTGTCCAAAAGCTGCTAACAAAAAGAAAAAAAATGAATGAACATACAAAAACACTACAGTTCACTAGAGATACACGCTTGAAACCATCAAGCTGATTTAAATTGCAATACCCAAAACAATACTGTACAAAGATCAATATTGTAGCTTTGTGGGGAAAGTGACATTAAATGCATTGCAGACAATACTAAGGGAAATACCCACAGCTTCACAAAGAAACAACACTGGCAGTAAACAGGTTAAAGGAGCCATAAATTGTGCAACTGCAGGTGAGAATGGGCAGGATTGTATTCACTGAAGGGAGCATGGGTTTGAGCAATGTGACCTAGTGTACATTCTACTCCCTGCTATAATTTGATATTATTCGTGGCGGCAGAGCTGTCGGAGATTGATAGCTTTCCTATTCTATTCGTTCAAGCAGCGAACCATATTCTCTCCACGGCCATTTAGCATACTGGATGAGATTCAGTTTCCAATAGGTTTTAAAAAAAAAGCCATATTTTCCTCTGCTCAGTACAGAGCAGCAGAAGGAGACTCCTTTGTCTGAAGCTACACACTCTATAGTGCTTGCTGGATTCACAATAAGAACAGTAACAGCAGCTTGTTTACACACATACATTACAAAGGGTGAAGTATACACATTAAGTCCTCATGCACACTGGACCTTTTTTACAGCGGCTGTTTTTGGCTGACATTTTTTTCTACAGCCTGTAAACCCCCCAGCATGTTATCCTATGTGTCCATGCACACAGACTGTAATCAACATTTTTGGCTGGAAAAAAAACCCAGGACTAGTGGGTTTCTAGAGGAGTTTTTTAGCTGGAAAAAATGCAGTAAAAATTCCACAAGTCGACGTTTTTGGACTTTTTTGACCAAGAAAAAAAAGCTAAAAAACAAACACGGAAAAACTCGAGAAAATGCAGCTAATCGCACCAAAACGCCGCTAAATAATGTAAAAATGCTAAAAAAAAAACTCACATTTGTAATGTGACCTTACACAGCTAACGTTACCAGCGTTATCGAAACACCCAGTGTACATGGAGCCTAAATGTATATTTCTCTGCCAGATGTAGTACGATGGCTAAAAGTGATGTCTTCTAAAGTATGGGGCAAGTCTTTCCAAATTAAAGCTGATGGCCAGAGAGCAGCTTACTGCATGATAGATTAGAAGCAAAAAATAAAAACATAGTAATATTACCCCTACCTTCAAACCTGAAGTGTGCAGCAATCCACACGAGAATCCATGCAGCCGCACCACCCGCACAGAGAAATGCGGACCCGCAGGCGGGTGCCATTAGTTCTAATGGCACGCCGCCCGCACTGGAAAACGCAACTGTACTGGGAATCGAGGTTCCCCTACGGGCTGTGTTTTCCAAAGAAGTGCAGGGACTTCTTCCCTGCGTGCCACAGGCACGGGAGTCCATTCAAATGAATGGGCTCTTGTGCCCGCGCAAAACGCAGCCCGCACGGCCGCATATATGTGAACCAGGGGTTAGGCCTCATGCACACAGGACATTTTTAAAACTCTCCTAGAAGCTTTTCCTCCTGGCAGCAGCGTTTTTTGCAGGAAAAAAAACAAAACAAAAACAAGCGTTTAGGCATGTTTTTACCGGCATCAAGCGCTTGGATGTTCATTCATTTCAATAAACTCTTAAGCGCTAAACACGTCTAGGGTTAACGCACATTTAGGCGCGTTGACATGGAAGCACGGAAGTGGGTGTTTTTTCCTGCCTCTAAACGCCTATGTGTGTACATGGAGGGGTGTTTGGAAGCAGGAATAAAGATAGATTGTAAGCTCCAAGGAGCAGGGCCCTCAAATCCTTCTTGTATTGAACTGTATTGTCTCCCACTATATTATAAAGCGCTGAGCAAACTGTCGGCGCTATATAAATCCTGTATAATAATAATAACAAAAAAAAAAATGCCTGATGCCCCTATATGTGGCAATAAAAACATCCAGTGTGCATGAGACCTTATCCTGACAGTGGGAGTCACTGGTAAGAACAGCATTAATACACACTAAACATTTCTCTGGGATTCTCTGATCTGATATTACACAAATACAGTGGGGAAAATAATTATTTGATCCCCTGCATATTTTGTAAATTTGCCCACTTACAAAGAAATGAAGGGTCTACCATTTTTATCATAGGTGTATTTTAAATGATAGAGACAAAATATCAACCAAAAATCCAGAAAAATAACATGCTACAAATGTTATAAACTGAGTTGCAGTTTAGTGAGTAAAATAAGTATTTGCTCCCCTACCAAGCAACAATAATTCTGGCTCCCACAGACTGGCTTATGTGCTCATGTGGTACAGAGATTAGTCCTGTCAATTTAACCACTTGTCCTCCAAAGGATTTACCACCCTTCCTGACCAGGCCATTTTTTGCGATACGGAGCTGCTTTACTTGACAATTAATTGGTCATGCAACGCTGTACATAAATAAAATTTATGTCTTTTTTCCCCACAAATCACAGAGCACCTGTGCTTTTTCTATTTTTTTTTTTTTTTGCACTATAAACAAAAAAAGACTGAAAATTTTGAAATAAACAATATTTTTGACTTTTTGCTATAGAATCTATCCAATAAAAAAATTTAAATCTAATTTCTTCATAAATTTAGGCCAAAATGTATTCTGCTACATATCTTTGCTAAAAAAAATTAGTATATGTAAATTAATTTGTCTATGTGACAGTTATAGCATCAGCAAATGGCAGTATATATTTTGGATTATTTTTTTATACTAGTAATGGCAGTAATCAGCGACTTATAGCAAAACTGCGGCGGGCATTCTGACACTGAGAGGGAACGGAGTAACTGCCAATGACATCCCCAGTGACAATAATACAGTGATCAGTGCTAATAAAAAGCACAGACACTGTACTGACACTGGGCAGGGAGGGGTTAACATCTGGGGCAATCATAGGGTTAACTGTGTGCGGTTTTACCGTGTGTCTTTTACTCGGGAAACATACTGCTGTGTATTTCTCTGCACAGCAGAGAAATACACAGCAGCATGTTACTGCTGTCAGGAGAGAGATCTGTCATTTATACTCGGTGATTGACATCTGTAGCAGCCAATCTTTGGGAATTGGGAGAAAGTGCTGTGGTCAGAGGAGACCAAAATTCAGCTCTTTGGCATTAACTTGACTTGCCGTGTGTTTACAGGAAGAAAAATGATATGACCCTAAGAATACCATCCCTACAATCAAGCATGGAGGTGGAGACATTATGCTTTGGGGCTGTTTCTCTGCTAAAAGGTACAGGCTGACTTTCCGTATTGAGGGGCAAATGGACGGGGCCATGTATTATAAAATCTTGGATGAGAACCTTCTTCCCTCAGCCAGAACACTGAAGATGGGTAGTGGATGGTGTAACGATTATCACAATAGAGACATGGAAGCTGTATGCGACAGCCATCTTGTTATGGTCTCAGCCATTTTGTTTTTCATGAACAATCATCTTTCTCTCTTCCTCCCTCCTCTTGAAAATGGAATTTGTGGCTGTAAGTTGTAATGAACTTCAAAAGAGCCTCTTATCTTAAATAAAACACAAAGAGGCCAGCTGCAGAGCAGTAAACTGCTAATTAGTCTTGGCAGGATGTCTATTTTGCAGACTCTTTCCTCTGCCCTATCGCAAAACATTCACTCGGTCAGCCTTCACACATGACCTGTTAGGCCATTAGAGCTCTAGGAATGCAGGTATGGCAGGAATGCCATAAAACATCTATTCCACATGTAACAATTCCACATACAATTCACAGAATTCAACAGGAACTGGGCACATTAATATTAGGTATATATTTAAATAGGGAATATCATGCCGAAACAATCAAGGTCCTACATGACTATGTTAGCGCATAGCAGTCTCTTCCCTCCCGGGTGACAAAGGTACGCTGTGTTTGGTATCCCTGGGTTTGAAATATAATTCTGAATATTAATCTGCCAGTTGCTAGAATACCACCTGCACATACTGGAAATTATTAATATCAGTATGAAATTGTAGTTGGGACTTAGTCATAAACTTGGTGACCTCCTAGCACCCATCCCCTAAACCGGATGATTGGTCAGTTGTTCTCAGGCGACACCCCTATAATATCATAGAAAAGGTCTGACAGGTCTGGTGAAGAGAACTCTCGTTTAACATCAACCAAGAAACCTCTTAACGGACTTGAGAGCCAAGGCAACATTTTTGCTTGGACAATTGAACTCTGCTAAACCAGGACTTTCCAGGTATTCTGCCTTAACGCCTCTCTTTTATTTCTCTAGCTTTATTGTTCTCTTTATGTCTTTGTAACAGCTTTTTCTGTAAATATTTTAACCTTTTAGTAATAAATCCTATTTTGAAAAAGTGTTGAAACTGTCTCTAAAGCTTTTAATGCAAACTAAAGAATCCCTGTCTCTTTGAAGAGTGCTATTGTATACAATAATCCTCTGAACATACCTGTCTGTGGTGACAGTGTGTGTTGTGGACACGTATGCTGAAATAATAGTGTTATTGCTAGGATTTGTCAGTTTCCTCCTTTTCTGTAAAAAGGTGGTGGTGGCAGTGTGAAGGGTTAATTGTGTAATTAACCTAACCCAGTATCAATCACTCTCAGGCTGCTGGCAAATAGATTGTGGTACCGCGAGCTGGAAAATCTTTGTGCAGGGTGCATCTGAGAGTGACATTGTTACGCAACTGAAAGCTCGGTGCTGGCTGGTCCTTTGTCACGGGTTAATGAGAAGGGCAGGGGTCAGGCACCGCGTTCCGTCACAGATGGGTCATCCAGCATGATAATGTCCCAAAGCATTCCACCAAGGCAACAAAGGAGTGGCTCAAAAAGAAGCACATTAAGGTCATGGAGCAGCCTAACCTATTTATGGAGGGAGCTTGAACTTTGTATTGCCAAGGGACAGCCAATAAACTAAGGATTTAGAGAAGATCTGTAAAGAAGAGTGGACCAAAATCCCTCCTGAGATGTGTGCAAACCTGGTAACCCACTACAAAAACCGTCTGTCCTCTATGCTTGCCAATAAGGGTTTCTCCACCAAGTACGAAGTCATGTTTTGCTCACTGAACTGCAACTTAATTTATAAAATTTGTATCATGTGTTTTTTCTGGATTTTTGGTTGATATTCTAGCTCTATCATTTAAAATACACCTATGATAAAAATTATAGACCCTTCATTCCTTTGTAAGTAGGCAAACTTACAAAATCTGCAGGGGATCAAATAATAATTTTCCCCACTGTATACGGAGTTCCAGTATATGCATAGACAAAACTTTTTTCCTATTCATATAGGGGTTTCTTCTACAAATCCCCACTTTATCAGTTTAGTTTTTGTTGGCTGTATCCCATTGGGCAGATTTACCTTCACTTCCTGTCCCAGAGATACAAAAAGAAGGGACAGAACATCTATACAAAATAGGAAATTTAGGTCTTGTTCACATCTCACAATTTTAGAGCACGGACAAAATCACATTTAGGTGCCATTATCTAATGGCACCTCAAACGCGATTCGATTGTCAGGCAGCAATCACAGCAAAATACGCTTTAAAAAATTATGCAAAGCTTGTTGCTCCAAAAAGAAGCAGGAACCTCTTTTTGGGTGACAGACATGCATAGGGCAGTCCATTCAAGTGATTAGGCTGGCCCTATCGACAATGCTTGTTCTAGCTATTTGATATGTGAAAGAGGCCTAACTAAACCAGTGCATACACAGAACCTGGTGCAGCTGTGCATAGTTACCAATCAGCTTCTAGGTTTCAGCCCTGGTTCACACTGATGCGGTGTGGAATGCGCAGCGTTTTCAGTGCGAATTCCGCACCGCATCAGAATAGCACCCCGTTCATGCAAACTGCTGCGGGTGTGTATGTAAAGTTAACAACACCCCGAAAGTGGACCACAAAACTCGGTGCGATATGCAGAATCGGATCACATAGGTGTGAATACCCATGCGATCCGATTGTAGTGCGGACCAAAAAAGGGTCCTGCATGTTTTTGGTCCGATGCAGTGCAAATAGAGCCATTACAAAATGTATGGCTCCAATCGCACTGCACACAAATCGCATGTGATTTGCACAGGATATACCACACCGCACATATGTGCACCCAGGCTTATTGTCAAAGCTTAACCTCTTCGCGCCGGCCACAGGCAAATGTGTGGCCTCCCTGCGTCTGGGCCTTGACGCCGAGCGGCCGCACATTTGTGTGCAATTAAGAAAAACATATGTGCTGAGAGCACGTGCCCTGCGCACTCCCAGCACGCGTGTCCGGTGCTCACAGAAAGGTCCCGATCTCCTCTTTCGATTGGGACCTTTCCCTATCATGTGATCACCATGACAGCGAAGCACGGCGGTCACATGACCCTAAAACCCCACCCCCCAGGCTCCTGAAACCCTTAAAGGGCTGGGAGGCACCGGCGCCAAGAGGTTATTTGAACAAGCCGATTAGTTATTAATTAGAAGCTGATTGATTACTATGCACAGCTGCACCAGATTCTGTGTGCACTAGTTTTAGTAAATGTCCCTCCCAACGAGGGTAATTCTACTCTTAGGCCCCTTTCGCATGGGGCAGACTCTGCGAGAGATCTGTTCGCTGATCCCTGCTGAGTGGATGGATGGTCTGTGTCCGCTCTGCTTATGCAGAGTGAACAGACACAACACGCTGTCCTCTTTAGGTGGTCCAGGAGCCAACAGGTAGATTGTGACCATGGCTCTGACTCCCTCCAGCCTCCACCGCTCTTATGTTAACTGCAGAGTGGAGAGCGGGAGGCAGCATAGTGCTGGATGGAGGGTGGGGAGGGGGGCATAAGCTGCCTTAGCAATTGGTTGCTAGGTGGTCCTAGCAACCCTTCACCAGCTTGTTAGTATTATAAACTCAGACAGCTTCTGCTCCTGCCTTTCAACCAGCACTATGCTGTCTCCTGATCGCCTCTCTGCTGTATACACGTTGGCAAGCCGGACACTACGGTGGATGTGAAGGGGCAGAGGACACAGCATTGGGGGGTAGAGGGCAATACTATGTACTGGGGGGGTGAAGAGGGGTAAAGGACAATAGTGTGTGTGTGTGTGTGTGATGTGAAAGGGGGGGGCAGGGGACACTTGTAACACAGTATGTGTCCTTCATGCCATCTCTTTATTGGGAGCTTGAGAGTTTGTTTCTTTTCTGTTACTTTTAAGGGCGCTGCCGCCTAGTACAAATACACACGAGTTGGAGAGCTGCAGGTTCAGGTCCGGTCACTGACCTGCAATGCAATAGAAATATGATATACCTGGTGTGGCCTGGCCCTGAACATTCTGTTCATTAAAGAACATGGTAACGTCAGATGTTGTGTTGTCTTTATTACAGCAAAAGCAGAAAAACAAATCACATTTTAGGAGCCATTCATACAGAAACTCAGCAAGCTTGACACACGTTCTCACAACTGTAATACATGTAAATGTTTTATCTGCTAAAGTCACAGCTTTTACAAATGAAATTATTTGGCAAGCGTACATTCCATTTAGAAGTTTATGGTCATGTTCTTGTATTTGGTAGGTGGACTAGAAGCATATGGCACTACACATCAGTCAACACTACCCCTAGGTCTCACCACATCCCTACTCATACAACTTTCAAAACCTGGAAAGAAGAGGTATATCTGTTTTTGTCCTTTCTAAAGCCTCATGCACTTCCCTAAACGGCACCTAAAGCCAAGTTTTACATACACGCTTAGGCATTCATTCATTCCACTGGCCAAAATATTGATTAAAATACTTGTCGTTGGCATGATCAAACGCTAAAACGCGCCTGAATATACGGGTGATTTTTTTTTTTTCTCAGGCTGTAAACTCTTCTCTTATATAAGCCTAGAAACACGCGTGTGTGAGTGTGTATTTTTTATTATATTTTTTTTCCCCCCATTCTCTATTATGGCAGTAGTAGCCCACTTGTAGGGTTAGCTGCTTGTTTTTTCCAATGATTGTTTTCTGTTTTAGGCAAGCGCAAAAATCACCATATAATATAAAGCCATATAGTATACGGTTTATAAATCTCTTAGATTGTAAGCTCCAAGGAGCTCCTAACCCTC